TGTTCTAAGATATTCGAGACAAATTCCAATAAAATCCATCAGACATCGCGACTTTCGGCTCTCGTGCATGAAATTGAGCGATTTCCCCCAAAAACATTCGGTACCAGGCGCGGACACTTTATGACACGCGACACTCCGAAACCTTGTATGAGCTGATCGTTCTACTTTCCCCAGAGGTTTTTTCAATCCCTTAATTTCCCCTAAGCACTTTCCTGGCGCTCTTCATCTAAAATGCTTCCTTGAACATTCCACTGGTTTCAGAGAGGAAAAGTGCCTCTTCTGCTGGCAGTAGAAGCTGGCAACCAGTCAATGTGCCGAGAGCTTCTGAGCACTCTCACCTCAGAACAACTGAAGGCTGCGGCCGCCAATGGAGACACAGCTTTGCATTTGGCCGTGAGGCGAAAGGACATCGACATGGTAAGGCTTCGATCACCCATACTTCTGCTACTTACCACATTTTTGGCCAATAAAAGGTGAGAATCCTGGTGGATTATGGCACGAACGTAGACATTCGCAATGGTGAGGGGCAGGCACCTTTGCATATCGCGGCCGCAGAAGGAGATGAGATTTTAGTAAAGTATTTTTACGGGGTGAGAGCATCGGCCAGCATTACGGACAATCAGGACCGGACGCCGATGCATTTGGCCGCGGAAAATGGACACGCGAATATTATTGGTAAGCAACAGTTTCCCTTACCAAATCTGATTTATTAAAGCTTAACAAAATTTCCTTTTTTCTATCGAAATTCAGAACAGTRACGAATTTTCTAGCACTAGTAGAGAAATAGGCGCTCTTTTAACTGCCGCTATCGCTTGTTTGGAACTCACTTTGATGCAAAACGGCYCTCTTAATACGCACTCTGAAGATTAAAAATKTGTWCGAGTTCAGACGAAAGGGCGATTGAAATTGAAATTTTGWGGCATTTAAACGGAAAAATGTGCTTTTTTAAAGGCCACAACATGCGCCTTTATGGCGCCATAGGTTTTCCAGGAGTACATTTTTGAGGCTTACTCTGCATGAATTTCCGCTCATAATAAGCACTCAGATGATAGAAGAATGCACAATTTCAGAAAACTGCAGGAATCAACTGCATTTTGCAGAATTAGTAAATATCCGGTTTCCAGCCTCCATCGAGTTTTGCTAGTTTATGTCTGAAAGTCACTTTCAAGCAAAAAGTTACCTCATAGGCACTCTGATGATTACAAATTTGTACGAATTCAGACGAAAGAGCGATTGCACTGAAATTTGTGGCTTTTATAAACGAATATGCCCTCGTTTAAGTCCCGTAAAACGTGCGTTTGAGCCTCGATTGGTTTATCGGAAATTTATTTTTGAAACTAAACTCACTCTCAAGCAAAAACCTCTCTTAGCCGCTCTGATGATCTGACGTAGAATGTGGGAAAATAGCGCAATGGGACTGAAGTTTATGGAATTAGTGACGCAAAATGTGCTCTTTCATATGCCACAACACGCGCTTTTATACCTCGATAGGTTTTTGAGCGATCCATATTTGAAACTTACTCCACATGAATTAACGCTCATAATGGACACTCAGCTGATTAAAAAACTGTAATATTTCAGAAAAATGCACGCTTAAACTGAGTTTTGTCGCATCAGTAAAGGAAACGGCACTCTTTTCAATGCAGCAACACGCGCTTTTGCATCTCAATCGCTTTTTTGGAAATTTATATTTGAAACTCACTTTGAAGCTAAACGGCCTCATTTAATACGCACGCTGATGA